GGGAGGCTGAGGCAGTAGGATTGCTTGAGCCCAGGAGTTTGAGGTTGCTGTGAGCTAGGCTGATGCCACGGCACTCTAGCCCGGGCAAAAAAGTGAGATTCTGTCTCAAAAAAAAAAAAAAACCCTACTGCTCTCATCAACTTCTAAAAGTTTTACTTTCTTTAAATGATGTCTGAAACATAAGTTCCTAGAAGTAGGATTCCTAAAAGCCTGGGATGACCAATTGGACCAATTTGTGTGCAATGAAGAAATTATAAAATAATGCTTTGATAAAGTATCATAAAATGAATAGAAATCTCTCTCCCAAAGCTTCTAGCCATGTGTTTGAAAAAATAGTTGACACCTCTGCCTAGTAAAAAGAGTAACAGACTGTAAACTCATTAAGGACAAGGAATAGTGAATATCCCCATTACTTAATACAATGCCTTTTACAGAATAGGGGACTTAATAAATCATTAACTGAATTTTTAAAAAATTAGCCGGGCATGGTGTTGGGGGCCTGTGGTCCCCAGCTACTTGGGAGGCTGAGGTGGGAGGATCACTTGAGCCCAGGAGTTTGAGGTTGCAGTGAACTATGATCACACCACTGCACTCCAGCCCAGGCAATAGAGCGAGACCCTGTCTCAAGAAAAAAAAAAAGAAAGAAAATTCTGATGTTTTATGTATCCATAAGAGTTATCTACAAATACGCAGTTAATGGACTGTTACTGTGATCCCCCATTATCCATATCTGTGGTTTAGTTTGCCTGAATATATTAAATGGAAAAGTTCAGAAATAAAAAATTCATGTTTTAAATTGTACACCATTCTGAGTATTGTTGTAATTGTTCTATTTTATTATTAGTTATTGCTGGTAATCTCTTACTGCACCCAATTATAAATGAAAATTTATCATAAAAACGCAGTATGTACAGAGCTCATTACTATTATCAATTTCATGCATCTACTGAGAGACTTGGAACCCAAGGATAAGGGAGGACCACTGTAACAACTTTCAGACCAATAAATCCAGTCCTTGGAGAAAAGTAGGAGTAGAAGCAAGCCATCTTTAAGACTCCAATTTATTTGTCACATTTTAAGTCTTGCTGTGATAAAAATCTTACTCTTCCGTTAGATATGTTTTCTACAATATGTATCACTTTATGTAAATGAAATAGCATTTCACGGGATTCACTCCGACCAGTAAAACATCTGTATTTTATTCACCAATTGGCACAAAACAAGCCACTAAATAACACTTTTCTGGGCCCACCTTCTGACCAGACTTCTTTTCCATCTACAGAAACTCCAACCACTATGCCCGGTGCGCCCACCTCATCCTAAGATCGAAGGGGAAAAGAACGGACAGTTCAAAGACAGGCTGAAAAACCCCAGCGCTCTCACAGGGGCCTTCCCCAGGCCCCGCCCCCTCGATCCAGGCCCGCCCCGCCCCCTCTGCCTGGCCCCGCCCCCTCCGCTCAGGCCTTGCCCTGCGGCTAACCGCGAGGGGTGTGCCGGGTCCGCACACTGTGGGGGGTAACCTCCACCCCAACTTAGGCAACCCCCAAGAGCTCTGACCACTGCCAGGCGGTAGCGAAAAGGGAAGTCTTTCTCGGAAGCCGACCGCTGGCACCCCACGCCCAGGGTGGGGTCCGCTCAGCCCCGGGAGATGACCACCGAGGGAGGGGTCCCATTCCAGGGCGAGCCGGGAGCGGGGCGCGGGGTCCCCGGCCGCCTACGCCCCCCCTTCCCTGTCGCCGCACCTTGATCCTGTGCAGCAGGTCGCGGCTGCTCTCGATGGCTCTGGCGAAACACCTGGAGGGAGGCGGCGCGGGGCTCTGCGGAGACCACGGGGCGAGGGACTGCTCCTGCGGCTCGGCCTGAGGCGACGCCTCGGGGTCGGGGGCAGCGGGGGGCTGCGCAGGGGTCGCGCCGCTCAGCCCTCCCGCCAGCTTCACCCCAAGAGCCAGTCCCAGCCCCAGCCCAAGGCCTCCGACCCAGCCGTGGCCAAGCGGCGGCAGCCCGGCGCGCTGGTGGGCCCTGCGTCTCCCGCAGCCCCAGGCCTGGCCCCCGGGGGTCGCAGCCCGGGCCGTCACGGCTGACAGGAGCCGGTGCATGGCGTCTGTGGAGAGCCGGCGCCTAGCAGCTAGCGCAGGCCGGGCTGGCAGCGGCGCTGGGGCGAGGGGAGGGGCGAGCAGGGGAGGGAAGGGGGCGGGAACCGCGGTCAGACCCTAGCGGTCGACGCCCGACGGCCGGAGCGCCGATCGCATCGAGCGCTCCTTCTTTTCCCCCTTTCTTCTCTTTGCCTTGTCTTTTTCCTGTTGTTGTTTTTTCTTTCTCCTCTTCCTTTTTTCCTTTTTGTCTCCCTCAGATCAAGTGTCGCCTCTTCCGAGGAACCTTCCTAATTCTCGCCCACACCATCTTGCCCCCACAGTGTGCACACTTTCTTAACGACACTACACTTTGTGTCATTGAACTTGTCAGATTCCTTACCAGACTGACTTCTTTGAAGAGCCCAGACTTTTAGTTCTGGATCGTCAACTTTTGTAATAGCGCCTGGCACGTAGCAGAAGCTTAGCAGTCATCTTTTCTGTCAAAACGCTCTTTTCTTTCTCTCCCCATCTCCTTTCATGTCTCATTTCAGCTCCTTACATTTCCCTAAAGCTCTTTTAAAATCTATTACTTTTGGAGTTCTAGCTCCATACTGCATCAAACATATGAAGTTATATCCAGACCCTATACTATGTTTTTTTGCTTTAAAAAGAAAAGTGTTTTTTTTTTAAGTTTGCACTTGAAAAATTTTAATCCAAAAGTAACCCGTGTAATTTACAATAAGCTATGAGTTCTCAGTATCTGTAAATGATCAGATTATTGTGTAATAAGAAACCTAATCTCAAACTGCTACAAAATGTAAAACATGTATAAAATTTTAATTTAACATGTAATGAAGTTGATATGTTAATTTTGAAGATACCTAATTAAACATTTATCCATTCCAATTTTGCAATTTTCTTTTATATTTTGGGATGTATGATTTTTGAAAGCTTGTAGGCCTTAGACCTTAGATATTAGGGCAATATACCACATATGTAAAGTGACCTTGTCTTTCCTTGCACGTAGAATAGAGAGAGGTCACAGTCTTGAATTGACAAGCCTTATCAGAGAAAAGCTGTAAACATCTTGAGGTAGCAGTTATTTAACTGGAGGAAAAGGCAATGATGGTAACCACTCCTAGTAAGAAGCGGCTGGGGCTACTCATAAAGCCCAAGACCCCAAGATAACAGAGTATGCTAGGATCCAAAAGGTTTGGCACTGAAACTCACAGGGGTCTCTGAAGCACCACTTGCAGTTAGAGGGGACAGATGTACTAGGTCAAGATAGTATTGGAGGTTCTCATTGTAGGGGTCACTACTACTCCAAGCACATGACAGTGAGAGAGAAAAAATATAAAGAGAAAAATGTAAAAGACATAGCTAGTGGTGGTTACAAGTGCTCACTTTATAATTTGTCTTTAAACTGCACACGTATGTTTTATGCACTCTTCTGTACCTCTCCTTGGATTGGAAATGAAAAAGAAACACAGAGCCATGTGTTCTTCCATGTAGAGGGCAAAACCCAATATGCTGGTGGACTTCCAGTTTAGAAGCAGATATAGAGAGGCCACCTGAAGTTTGGTTTCTGTGACATAACAGAGAATAAATCTCCATACAAGCTAAGTGCCTAGGAGGCAACCTGACCAAGCAGCCTGAAGACATGCTGGTAGGACCTTCACTGTCACTTTGAGGCAGGAGCTCAGAGCCCCAACATTTGAGCTGGCTTTGTCCTGGGAGCCACAGAGACCGGATAGAAGAAAAGTAAACCACTAGACATGGAGAGGAATAGGAAGACAGAAAGAAAAAGAGAGAAGAAAGGGAAGAAGGAAACTTTCCACTAAAAATAAACCTATAAACAAAATTTCCAAAACATGTGAAAAAAAGTTTTCTAAGAAAGACAACAAAATCAACAATCAAAATGTGAAATCACCCCAAACAAAATAAAATCAGTAGAATGATCTACAGGGAAAGAGGAAAATAAGAGGCCGTTTCCTGGCTAAAAAGCAGATGGGTGATAGAAAACAAAATTTTTAAAAAGAATTCTCAAAGAGAGAAATTCCTGTCTCCATGAATATATAAAACCAAACTAACCCGGCACATTTTTTAAGGACCTTTTGAGGCCATGTGCTCTGAGCTATAGGTCACATACATTTGTTTTAGAATAAACCTCTTTAAACTGTTTTACAGAGTTTGGGGTTTTTTCTCATTAACGAGATCAAAAAGGAAGAGATAAAACTGTCCGTATTTGCAGATATATGGTTGTCTATGTAAAAAAGCCTAAAGAAAAAAATGACAAACACCTCCTAAAATTAAAAAGTGAGTTTAGCCAGGTGTGCTGGCTCACACCTGTAATCCCAGCACTTTGAGAGGTGAGGTGGGAGAACTGCTTGAGGCCAGGAGTTCAAGACTGCAGTGAGCTATGATCTTGCCACTGTACTCCAGCCTGGGCGACAGAGTGAGACCTTGTCTTAAAAAAAAAAAAAAAAAAAAAAAGTGAGTTCACAAGGTTGCAAGATACAAGATAAGCACACAAATATAAATTCTGTTTCTATATACTAGCAATGAACAGGTGGACACCAAAATTTAAAATAATACCATTTGTAATCATTCAAAAGATTCTCATAATATTTAAGTGTAACTCTAACAGAACATGTACAAGACTTGTATGCTGAAAACTATACACCACTGATGAAATTATAGAAATGGAGAAAAGACTAGGGGTTGCTGTGGGTAAAGGAGGGGATGGAATTGGGAGGGAAGTGGGTATTGCTTTAAAAAGGCAACATGAGGGATACTTGTGATGATGGAAATGTTCTGTATCTTGACTGTATCAATGTCAATATCCTGATTGTGTAATTGTAGCATAGTTAGTTGTACAAGATGTTACCATGGGTTAAACTGGGTAAAGACTACACAGGGTCTGTCTTACCTTTCTTTGTTGTTGTTGTTTATGCTGCCCAACCCTCTCTGTCTTATTTCTTAAAACTGCATGTGAATCTATAATTATCTCAAAATAAAAAGTTTAATTTGAAAAAAAGGAGGCCGGCCGCGATGGCTCATGGCTGTAATCCTAACACTTTGGGAGGGGGAGGCAGGAGGATTACTTGAAGCCAGGAGTTCTTTGAGACTAGCCAACATAGTGAGACCACAAAAAAATAGAAAAATTAGCCAAGCATGGTGGCACGTGCCTGTAGTCCCAGCTACTTGGGGCCCAGAAGTTTGAGGTTGCAGTGAGCTATGATCATGCCACTGCACTCTAGCCCAGGCGACTGAGCAAGACCCTATCTCAAAAAAAAAAAAAGATGGAGTATGAACCAGGATGAATATTTCAAAACTCAAATATAATTATATCTATCCTCTACTCAAAATGCTTTAAAGCTCCTTTTACCAATAAGAGAAAGTCCAGGCTCCTGTGGTTAGACACGTGGCCTATTGAGAAAAAAATAGGTTTTGTTTTTTACAGAATTGGATTCTCTACAAACGAATCGACTTCATTTCCTCTTCTTCCAAGAGGGTGGGCAGGCCTCTGAGTCCCAAAGGTCTGGGCTTTTCTTACCCCCAAGGAGGTAGTTAATAATTGTAACTGATTGTTTGAGAGATCTCAACCCACTCAAGTAAAAACATAGAAGGTTTTTCCCACCAGTAACCTCTAGCTGCTTTGCTTAGTCAAATCCCTCTCCAGCTGGGTACAGGAGAACTTCAGTGATATCTCCAGCTCGTTCAATACCTTTTCAGTCACTTCTAGCTATCAAAACAGTGTGATTTCAAGTGAATACTCAGTTGCTTCAGGTCTATTTCCTCTGCCAAGTCCAGTTCAATGCCCTCTCTCTAGCAACTGAGCAGGGCACCTCTCTAAGCTGCACAGGGTCCTGGAAGAAGCAGGTAGGTGGTGGCATCAGGAATTTACTTCCCAATCTCCATTCACTTGGCAGCAGCTGTGTGAGGTAGGCTCACCAATCAGAGGCGCACATTTTCGAAAGCTGGTGATGCATCAAGGTTGGTGTCTGAGACGTGCAGCTCCCTGGGCAGCAGCGGCAGGGGTTCCCGTAGTGTGCCCTGTGCCCAGTAGGGCAGCAGGGCTGCCCCACCATTCCTGCAGCTGTTCCAGGCAGCATTGTGGCTCTCAACCCCCCAAGTTCTGGGAGCCCCCAAGTATTAAAAGATTCCACGTGTCTCCTTTACACCTGCAGTCCCAGCATAATTAAGAATAGCTCCCCTTTCCCTCTCAAATGAGGCAATAAAATATACAACCATCCCACTCAATATGTTTTAATAAAATCCATTTCTACTTGAACCGGCCAGAGTGGTCTTTGAATTTGCAGCTAAGACGTTCAGCTAAGCTAAAGACATAAGCCCAGCCCTCCTCCCTCACTCATCTCCCACCTCTCCTGTGATCTTATCTCAGTTCTGTGAAAACAGGCAGCTGTTGATTGCCCTCAGGCCTTTGCATAGGCTTTTCTTTCTCCTGGAAAGTTCTTTTCTCTCGTGTCCACCTGGCAAACACGCTCTTCCTCCCTCCATCATGCCCTGTAAAACTCCACTGTAGCATTAGCCTCATGTTACAATTTTACTTAACTTTTTGGATTTGTTCTTTGAGATCTCTCCACCAAAGGTTTGTGAATTCCATTAGATCAGAGACTTAGTTTCATCTGGGTTTAAGCCCAATGCCTGCTACATGGTAAGCTTCAACAAGTGTGTATTGAAAACTGCATAGGAATGAGGATAAAATTGAACTTTTCGTAGAAAAATAGTTAAATAGATTGATTATGATTTTAGTGATTTACAGAGTGGTTTTGGTAGTCTACTATTCGAGTTTAATTCTCGGAAGATTTTCATTTGCAAGACATGCCTTTTAGCTTGAGAGAAACCTAACAGGTCTGGAAAATGGAATTCAAGTCAGGAGGGGGCCTTAAGTAGTACTAGGCCATCTCACACACGTAGGGAGGATCGCTTACCATTATTAGACTATTATTGTGTGCTGGCTGCCTTATACACGTTTTTGTTTTGTAGTAGGTATTTTCTCTTTTATAAGTAACAAAACTGAGGCTCGGAGAAGCTAAGTTGCTTGTGGTTAAATGGCAGAATCAGA